TTTGGGTTAATATTTTTCCTTATAAAATAGAAGGGCTCATAAATTTAGGCAGAGGTAATCAGGCAAGATAGATAGGGTATTATAAGAATCAAGCAGAACAAATGGGAAACATGTGTCTATAAAAATAAAAATTTCATTTTTAAAAAAGAAACCTGATTATAAGAATCCCTTTACCAATGAGAGGGGCCATTGTCTGTGGAATGACATTATAAGCATGGTGCTGCTGATTGAGAATTCTTGATTTGTATTGGTATAACAGTTATAAATTTCATTTCCCAATATACTGTATGTTGAGGCAGCATCATTTGTGAGACCCAGTGATCTGAATCATTACTTGATACTGTTTTTCAGTTTCTAGTGACCCATGAAATGATTAAAGGTCTTAAGTAAAGAGAAAACCTTAAAAATTCTAAGTAATAACATATTTAATAATGCACTCTTATAATACAGATAAATAAATGATAAAGATACAAAAAAGAATCTAGGCACAGTTGCTTTTAACTTCTTTTTAAATTAATTTCTTTTAAAATTTCCTAGATTCTTATTTTGGAAATTGTTTGAAAATCTCAAGCCTCTGTTTTCTGCCTAAAGACTCTAATCAAGATAAACTAAAGCCGGGGATTTAGCTCAGTGATTTTGTCACCTGCTGAGCAAGCGGGAGGACCTGAGTTCAATCCCTGGTACCAAAAAAAGAAAAGATAAACTATATGACCCTTAGAAAAATGCTAAAGCTGCTGCGGATGTTGTGGCTTCCCACAAACTCCTAACACTGACAATGCGTCCTGTAACTACCTGTAACAACTGCACTGTGTTCATTTTACAAAAGTAGAGACAAGTTTCATAAGTGCTCTAAAGAACATTTATATATCTACAAAAAGAATGATTTGGGGGAAAACAATTAAAACAGGTTCTTGCACAAGAAGACTATCATATTGTTGGATAAACTAGAAAAAAATTAACTGTTGTATCACACAACATTTTTTGTTGTAGAACACAAAACCTAGTCTAGTTAGCTGATAAGGAAGAAAAATTTCCTACATGAAATCACTTGGCTCAAGCTACCAGCGAACCAGGCTGGAGTTCTCTGATGCAGGGACAATACAGCCGATCCACAGAGCTGCTGTGTGGGAGCTTGCCTGCCTCCTCCGCCCAGGAGCATTTGGAATTTAGACTCTCCACTCCCATCATCCCCAACACTATGTCTACACTCAGAAGACCACATGTCCCACACTCAGCAGATCACATGTCCCACACTCAGCTCCCTACTCTTATTTCCCAACTCCAAGTCCAAATTTTCTTCTTATTGATGGAACCTAAATCACATGTCTGAGATGATAATACACTTTAGGTAAAACATAAAAAAGAAACTACTACTTATTTCTAAGTTTCTCTCTAGATTTTAAAATATCACAAGCTACCACATTATGGGTTTGATAAATATTGACAACAAATTCAAACTACGGAATATCAAATTAACTACTTTTTTCACTATAATGAATTTTTAGCAAAACTTTATCTCTTCTAGTCAAAATCATCTTAACAAATTAAAATATTACATCATATTATTATAAAATTACCTTTCAACAAGGGAATGGAATTAATGTGAGAAAATGAAACAAAGTCTTTGTAAACGGGGAGGGATGGAGGGGTTGAAGGGAGGGCAGGAGAATGGGGAAAAAATAAGAACCAAGTTATATTATGTAAAGGTACGAATTTCCAATGATGAATGTCATTATATTGTACAACTAAAATATATCAATAAAATTAATTTTAAAAAATAAAATAAAATTAGCTTTCAAATGTGTATGTCACATAAATAAACTTTTTAAAAATTAAACAACAGAGAGAATACTGCTATTCTCTCTGCTCATCAACCACCATCTTAATCTCTTTTTCCTCATTTCTATGGAAATGATTTTCTATCTGTTGTGTTTCCTTCTACATGGTTTTCATTAACAATTTCTCTTGACATCTGAGAAATGGATTTAGTAATTTTATGGCTGAATCAGACACATATTGACTTTTCATAATAAGCATTTTACAGCATGAAAAAGACAGGTGTTCTAAAAATAAATATTAACTGGTGAGTATTGCATTTATCAAGTCATGGAGTTTTAAAAGGTGCAATGTTTCATGAACTCATTCTGGTAAAAGAAAAAAATTACAAGATAAGGATCTTCTGAAACTCAAAAGTAAAATCACTTCACTTGTAAAATAGTTTAATTTATCATTGTGTTTATAAATCAAGTATGTACTTTCAGGTAAGTCATCCACATAATAAACTTGTAAATAAAAAGCATTGATACATAACATATTACTAATTTAGGATCTTTATAGACCATTTTAAAGGTACTTTTATAAAGTGATCTGCAGTAAATCACATCTGCAGAAAGCATTTTTTATTACAGAATATTAGTGGGAAATACCACAGGTTTTATTCTCATTGTGTGTCACAGTCCATGGGCTAGTACCAAAACCCTTGATCAAAAGAATTCCAAAGTATTAATTGTAGCACCTTTTTAAAAGTCATTCAATAATGTATGTTTATGTGTTTTCTGTGTAAGACTGAAAAAGCTTAGTGAATCTGTAGTCCAACTGGTGAGCTGAAACCCCAGTCTCAATATTTAATAGTGGCAAGAGCATTGGCAGTTCACTTAATAGATCTCTTTTCAGTTCTTATTATTTTTAAAACATCAAAATGTTCATAAATGAGTCAAGGAGCTTCTATGAAAATTAAATAAATTGATCAAGAGCTCAATAAATGTCATTCATCATCATCATCATCATCAACACTCTACTACACTCCTATTATCATTTGGTTTCTGTAATTGAAAAGATTATTTTCACAAACCAATGTATTAAGAAGCAAAACTCTGAATTGAATTTCTATAATTTAGTACAGTATAGTTTAAGAAATTTAATATCCAAAAGTTTCAATGATACTTCCTAAACTTTTTCTGATATGTGATTATACCTTTTTAACCAGGGATGACTGCAATTCAAGCAGTGCATGTTATTTTCTAAAACTCTTATCACACTCTTCTTTGGTTTAAACTCCTATCCAAACCTCCAGGGGAAAAACACTTTTCTTTTAAGCATGCTGGGCGCAATCCATTAAAGTGAAAATAGCAAGAGAAAGAAAATTCAATAGCATGTTCTATAATTGAGACATTATTATAATATAATCATTCCAAAAAGTGTCTTAGTGTCTCAAAAGTCCTCAAGAACTATCTCAGAATGTTAGTACTAACCCCATGGGATGAATGTTTTCCTGTGAGAATTTCTGATTGATCCAGTTCTATTTCACAGGGATGGTATCTTTCTTACCCACCACATTATACTCAAAGCTCTATTTAATTCCTGCAATTCCAAGTTCAATATCGATTTTTAATAAATAAGAGAGAGCTCTCACTGCTGTAATTGTTCACTGCTTTCTGCTTATAGCTTGTTCTTTTACCTTTTAAACAGAATTTGCTAACGAGGGTACTTGAAAAAGACAGACCCAATATCCAACTCTACCTTCTAACTCTGGCAACTGTTGAATAAAACCAGACAGAAAACTTAATCAAGTCTGACTCATCTAAGCCAAAACTTAAAACAGACTCTCTGTTTTAAGAAAAGTAATTCCATAGTTGTCTGTGCCACATTTAAGATCATATTGATCTTTCCTAGAGTTTCTAGTCATTTAATTCCATTTACTTAGAACTATTACGTCTATTTCCAAGTAAAATTTCCTTTTCCTATTTACCCATTTCCTGTTTCTTTTTATTCCTCTTTGCTGTGTGCTTTCCAAGTTTTTCACACTTCCAGTAAATCACCTACAATTGAACACCTAGTGAAATGAACACATTCTGCCTCTTGAAAAATTTCTTTTTGTTGAGTTTCCTTCCTTCTCATTAGAGTTCTTTTTGATATATTATTTTCAGAAGACTTTCTGCCAAGGAAGGACTTAACTGATCCATGCTGAGAACAAGGTTTTCACCTTTCTGTTATTTATAAACTCCAATACTTTGTTGATCAATATTTGATATTTGATCACTTTCTGCCTCATTTCTCCAAAAAGTAATTTTACTGACTATATACTTCTTCAATTTACATTATTATATTTATAAGTCGAATTCACCAAATTAGTCACTAACTTTACAGTATTTTTATATGAACATAACAGATACTGTCTCATTTAAGTCTTTAATAGAACAAATAAGAAAATGTCACTACAAAAAAAGCTTACTGATTTTAGCTACTCCCTTGTACTTAATTTAGAAAAGTCTTTTACATTTTGTTTTCCTGTCACTAATTTTTGCTTTAACTTCAGAATTCTTAGTCCTAAACCATATTTCTACAGTGTTTAGATAAACATTCTGTAAGATAAAACCTTGAAATTCAATAAGATGAAATCATATTACCTTTTGTACCTTGTCCCTTGTCTTGTGGAGAATCAAATTCATATTAAAGCCAGTATAGGACAGACCTTGTTGGCTTGGACGAATTATCACAATACTCTGTAATATATTGCCAAGATTTGAGGATTGTTTTTTACTATTGCCTAGCCTCTTTTTTCATTGGACAATCCTACATTTGCCTTTTTTCAGTCAGTAAGAATGACCCGCATTGTTAGCAAACTCTCAGAATTAAGGGATGGTGTACTTCAGTGACCACATACTATTCTGTGAGTGTGCCAAGACATTACAGCCTATAAGTTAGAATGTCACTAATTATTTCTGGGTGTCGCCTTCAGTCAGCCCCACCTAATAACAGTGGCTACTGGGTCACCCATGCTAAGCACAAGCTTTCATACCTGGCATAATATAGGTAAACTTTCAAATGAAACTAAATCTGTAAATTAATTTTTTAAGGAGTTTTTTCCAAGTTAACAGGAAAGAAATTCCCTTTTCTAATATTCTTTTTTAGTTTATCTTTGTTGTTAAAGATTTTTATATATTCTTTTATTCCTTATATACTGTAAGCAGCTTCTTGCTTTGTTTCATGTGCATATGCAGCTGTTCAAGGGATTCCATTAAACCTCTGAGAGCCGAAGATGTCAAATTCCTCTCATAAATAATGGTGAAGAAGAAACCAAGGTATTTAAATGTTACACATCACCTGCTTTTCCAGATGTTAACTCTGCTTACCTCCAATAAATCTCTGTTTACTATGGGAAAATATTACATGCTATAAAAGGTACACTCACCTTGAGTGTATATTTGAATTGTACATTTTTTTAAATCATAGAATTAAAAATTTCTTAATTATCCCAGTTAGTTAATGTCTCTGCCTCCAAATTGTCAGAGATTCAAATTGTTGTAGATATACAAGAGATTTCTTTCTTAGAGATTTAGGAGAAAAAAAAAAAACAGTATCACTTGCAAAATCATGTAAGGAATCATTATTTTTTAATTTAAGAAGCTCTTCCTAACATACAACCAAGTGCTACAAAAGCCCATTTTAAATGTTTCCAAAATAGATCCTTTAGAAAATGTTTATTTTTTAAATAAATACAATGTACAAGATAATGACAAAAGGGAATATATTATTGAAGAATGATGTCAAAGCTCTTTTGATTTCAAAGTATTATAGTGACAAATAGCCTGTGACAAAGCAAAGACATAAAATTTATCTTGTAACTGTTCCTTTGCCCATTTCCTTGGCTAAACATAGGTTGAATCAAAAATTTAAAAAAAATTTTGATTTAATTCAAATCTTTACACATTTAAAGATGAATTCTAATAATAAGGGAGACTACTGGGCCTATATTTAAAGCAGAAAATTTCTACTTCATTTTTATTTTTTCTGCATAAACTTATATATAATTTTCTATTTAATCTATAACTTTACACCACCAGCTGGATTAGTAATATTGACAACACACTATTTACATATGCAATGAATAATTCATTAAAAATATATAGGATGTCTCTGTTTCATTGCTCCATAAATTTGGATACCTACTAAATATGTCTAAACAAAGACATTATAAAAGTACTTTTAAATTCATTTTCTCATATTTTATTCTGGAAGCTTTAGACATTTATGAGTGGAATATTCCAGAATTCAGAGCAAATCTAAGTATACCTCATGTATGTGTAAGACAATGATTCTGGTTAAGGGTTTTATTCTCTGTAGCAGCTAAGATACTTTCTTCCAAAATCAATATTGAGAATGAAGTGGTAGGAAACTTAATTATAATGACAAGTATAAGATATTATTTAATTCAACTTTAATGTTAGTAAAGCTGATACTGAAATAGTAGTCTTTGATCCTTACATCTATTTCTCAATTGTTCCTAAGTAAAAAGAAGTAATGAGATATAATTAATTAGTAGCCTCAAATCCTACTCATTCATTTAGTTTACATTATTTGGAGATATAATAAAACTAAAGTAAAACCAGACACAATTAAAATAAATTCACTTATAGAACCAGATATATTGGGTAAGAAAGAGGAAGGAGGTGAAAAAGGTAAATTTTATTTTATGCCATTCTGTTCCATTCAATAGTTTTAGCATTCATTTTTAACCTAAATAATGTTAAAACCATGATTATACCATAAATATATACATCCAATAACATGAAAATACAAAACACAAAGTTGTTATTGAGACATTCTTTATAGTTTCATGATATTGGAAATCGCTTGCCTAAATAAAAGGAAAGTGATTAAACAAATTATGGTACAGCTGCAAAATATAATGCCAATGTGTGAAAGAATTAAAGAATTCTTAGGAATTCATGTAGAATGATTTTTGGATAAATGGTTAGGTAAAAAAAGTAAGTGCAAAAAAATGTATCGTATGTAAAGTTTTGGATAAGAAAATTTGAAAAATCAGAAAATATACATATCCACCCACTTGGGCACAAACAACAGAGGGTAAAAATCAGAAAATCAGTTACCTTTTGGGATGAGTGGAACAGAGTAGAAAGAATGGAAGGAATTTATGACAAATAACATCACTCTGATTACAGATTTCTGTACAGTTCTAACTTCAAGAACCATTTGAGTTTCATATTTAAAGATTAGTAAAATTAGAAGAGTGAGATTATAAAATACAAACACATAAACTGAAACAGTATTTGGATTACTAATATCACCACTCTCAGGGAAACAGTAGAGAAGGAAAGAGGCGACCTTGGCAGCTTTTGAACATAAGTATTTAAATTATCTCTACTCAAGAGAAACATGACTCTAAACAAATTTTTCACAGTAGTATGGACTAGCAACCAAAATTATTTTTGTGTATTCTAGTCTTAGAAGTTTCAATAAATTGTGGATAATAAGTAGATTACTCTCTACTGAAGAAGTAAGTGGTAAATATGGATAAATGGACAGGTAAAATAAACTTGTTGAACTGGAATGAGAGGTCTTAATCTGAGCCCAGAATTTTTAAGAAGGGTGGAATGATATAGAAATAAGTTATAGATATACACAGATGCAAGTAAATATATCCTAGTTGTGTCAATTAAGAAATTTTAAGAGCAATGACATTCCAGTAGCATATCTTGATTTCTAAAAAGCCCTCTCCACTAAATGTCATTGGAGAAATACCTAATTCCGGGGCTGGGTTTAGGAAAGTATGAAATAAACCTGGAATACCTTCTTGTGCTATGAACTAAGGAAGTATCAAAAGAATTCAGAAGTCATATGGATTTGAGGGTCTTATTAGCCAAATATGAATAATATTATGAATAAAATAAGAATCTTTGAGTACAAATTTATATTAATTCATAAATGGCAGACTGGAGAAAGTGATTCCTTATAGCAAAAAAAAACCCCACCAATTAGGAATAATAAAAATACATATTATAATGAAATTTGATTCAGAAAAGAATTCACAAAGGTAGCCGAAATTGTAGGAAAAAAATTCAAGGAAGAGGAGGATATTTTTATAGTTTCAAAGTATCTCTCCTTAAGCTATTATTCAATGTCATTCAATGGCAATTTTGCTTAAAATCTATAATCTGAATTTAATCGTGAAATAATATTTACATAGCAAAATTCAGTGATTTTTATGAAATATCCTGCCTATTTTCATGAAAAATATAAACACCACTAAACATAAAAAATGTATAAACAATTTTCCCCCTACTTATGACATTGAAAAGATGACACCATTAAATGCAATGCATGATCTGGCTGGGTTTTTTTTGCTATGAAAGTCATTATTGGGACAATGGACAAAATCTAAATAAGATCTCTAGATTGGGTAATACACTTTATGAATGTTAACATCTGAATTTTGTAAGTACAGTATACTGAGGTTATATAAGAGAAGGTCCTTATTTTAGGAAATACATACAAACAAGTAAAGAGCATCGTTTCCGCAACCTAGTACCAAATGTTCAGAAAAATATTGTGCATATGTGCTCACACATGCATATATGTGTACATTTGGGGGCAGAGTAGACTAAGGTGTTAAATTAGTATTTAGGAATCTGGATGGAAATTCTTTGTCCTATTCTTGCAGCTCTCTGTAAAATTTCTTTCAAATAAACAGTTAAAAGGTAAAAATGCAAGGGATGGAATCATTATGTGCTGCAAACATTTAATCAAGTAAAAACTGAAAAGAAAAAAATAAAAATTACTAAGTATTGTAGGATGTAAGTAATATGAAAACATTTCAATCTTTTCTTCAGTGCTTTCTTTAAATTTATACATTAGATTTAGTACTTTCTGTCCCTGCATGAAAACAGATAGGTTTAAAACTTTTTAGATAACTCCTAATACTATATTTTAAAATCACTAAACCCAGAATAAGTTCAGAAATCAGTAAGCAGTCCAAGACAATAATAAAGCTTCTGATCTTAATCAGATACAATTACTCTCCTGGAAATTACTCTCTTGCAAGAGTGTGTTTTCACCAGAATACCACTATGATGAGACAGGGTATAGTCGATTCTTCTTTCCCACTCATTTCCCACACCTTTCCCACACTTACTGTCTTATCTTTTTGTCCCATTCAGAGTTGGAGCAGAGGAAGATGGTTAGGAATAAGAAAATTTTTACTTCCCTGGAATAGCTTTGTGTTCGCTCAAGCTGGCAGACTTCCTATACATTTTCATGGATTCTTTGAAGCTCTGATCCATTACTGGAAGTTCTTTACTTGAAGTTTTCTTCAACAGTACATCTGTTGGTTTTTAAAATTTTTTTTCTGCAGATCTGCAACATCTAATGATATGCTTCCATTTTTTATCTGTTGTGTTTTCATGGGCCATTTAACTGGATATACTGAAAATGACTTATGACTCCTACCATGTACCTTATGTGTAGCACACATTTAAGCACAAGCAACACCACTGCATCCTTTTTTCTGACCAATTCTGGAAAAATAAGATGATCCCAAAGCAGTCACTTTCATTTTAGTCTCATTATACGGGGATGCTATCCAGCCTTTTCTCTTACTTTGCATGCTTCTCAGTCAGGAACCATGCACTAATTCATTGCAACCCCTCAGCTCCTGATGATACACAGAAAGCTTTACAAGTTCTACTATTGGAGTGCATTTCTGTTAAGCTCCATCCTTCTTCCATGTAAGAGATAACAAGAACATCCTAAAAAAGAAAAATCACTTCCAGAACTTCCTAAAATCCACTCTCAAACCATTTGTATCACAATGAAAGGGATTTGCGTATCATATAACAAGTTCTTCAAAATTACAATAAAAGAGCTTAGCTTTTCTTGGTAGGTGATATCTATTGTATCTCAGTTCTTCAAGTAAACTCTCCCATTTATGACTCCACAGCACACACACATACACATAATTAGATGCAGAGCATTTGTATTTTTAATGTATTGTGGACTTATTTGTTTTGTAAATGAAGCAAAAATGTGATGACAAACAAAGTCAATACTTAAGATATTGGTGTGATTTTAACAATTTAACAACTTGGTATCACCTAATCTTTCCTGGAACTTTCCCAGCCCTGCCAGCAAAAAATTCCCAGAAAGACCAAACTTTTAAGCCACTGTTGCTCTTCTTATTTTAAGATCTCTACACATGTTGTGCTGATTTCTTCTGCAGATTTCATAGGCACAATCATGGTCATGCAATTATTTCAGTACAAGATCTTTTTGACATGAAGTTCTATTGGCCACTCTGCAAAGATACTCTAGGACCTTTTTATTACAGACCATCTCATGCACAAATATATATTTTTTGTATTGGGGATCGAACTTGGGACCTTGTGGTTGTGAGGCAGGCGGCAGAACCACTGAGCTAAATCCCCGGCCCAAAACATTTTTAAATATAACGCCAATACAGACTGACTCTTAGATGAAGTAAGAAGCAGATTTAAGGTAGTCTTTGAGTCCTAATAATAGTGAAATAAAATTGACAGCAGAATATATGAAGATTGGAGTTTAGGTAAAATAGTCTGTCTGTATATTAGTAATCTCAGATAGGTAAATGAAATATTATAGTAATATACTATTTATCTTTTCTATAGTTTTAAATAAAACAATTTACCTTTTCTATTGGTAAATAAAAATCCAAATAGCTTCTATATTAGACAATTCAATCTACAGTTAAATATATAATAATATAGAAGATATCATTTATAAATTTCAAATTATAACTTCCTCAACCATTACCATTTTATTTCTTATTTTCAAGACTTTAGGAACAAAGAGAAATCTAAGAAGGATCAAATTATCTATACCCCTTTGTATCCGTAAGAAGCCAGAATTCAATTTATTGCTCTGAAATCACTATCACTGTTGCTTCAAAAACAAAAACGAAAAAGGAGATGAAGAAAAATGGAGGGTATGAAGAAATACAGAGCTTCATAATATTATTTTTTCTTCAATAAGCTATCTCCATTATTTTTCTTTAAACTGAAACCTTTCCTTCCATATTACTAGCCTTATCTTCTTTTTGCATTCAGTGTCACTTTAATTATTAGTTAATGAATAGAAAGATCATTTAGAGCTTATGAGGTATTGCTCAGGAAACAACATCTTGAAAAAGTCCTGGTAACTAAATAGAATGGAAATAAAATTCAAACATATAAAATAGCAGTATTAAAGCAAACACTTCCAATTGATTCATCCTAATTTTAAAAAATATCCAAACACTATCACATGTAATCCAGGGTACTTAGAATATTGTTGACAGTTTTCCTATTATTTGCTTATCAAAAGGGTTTTCCAGGCCGGGGATTTAGCTCAGTGGTTTCGCTGTCTGTTGCGCAAGTGCAAGGACCTGAGTTCGATCCTTGGTACCAAATTAAAAAAAGGTTTTCTTTCCCCTCTTATTGTACTTATAAAACTTCCTTTGCAAGTCCTATTGCAGTTTTGATGCCCAAAATACATAATACTTCTCTTGAGAAAGAAACATGCCTGAAAAACTCCTACAGATGAAAGGATTTGATTATATATAGTGGCCTAGAGAAACATATTTATGAAATTGAAAAAGGTTAAATTTTAAAAGCATCTGGAATATTATGTTGAGATCACTCAAAGCTAGTAAAATGATTCAAAGTCATTCAGGTTTTAATATACATAACAAAAGGATAGAAAACCATGCTGTTTTGCTGTAACAATGCACTATCTCTATGACAAAGAGCTTTAATTAGAGGCAGAACATTAAAAATATTCAAGGCCAATATTCGTTGTAAGGTATGACATGTTTATTTTGAAAAGTTACAACAAAAACAATTGAAAATGAGTGTATCAAATATCATGTTAATGCATATCTATAAATTTATTTATCATGTATAGATTTATTAAATTTGGTTTTTAAAAGATAAAATGCATGAAGAAAAGGTGGTATTTATACACAATGGAGCAGTACTCTGCATTAAGAATAAATGAGTCATTCATAGGAAAATGGATGCAAACTAAGACAATCATGTTAAGTGAAATAAATCAAATGCACAAGTTTAAATACTGCCTGGTTTCTCCTATATGAGAAAACCAAAATTAAAAAAAGAAAAAAAGAAAAGATAAATGATAGAAAAAAGGAAATTAGATCTTTTTCAAATGGGGAAAGGGACAAAAAGATGAAGCAGAGGGGAAGAGAAAAGGGGAAAGGGATGAAAAAAGAAATAAAATGTGTTATGTACATGTACCAACTCTGCATGAGTAATGTAATCTTTAGGTACTGTAAAGATGCACTATTAAAAATTGGAAAAAATATATATATAATGATTAGAAAGTAGCCAATTGATTAATGTGTTAGAAGATTTATCAAAAAGGTAACAAATTAAACAAGTAATACATTAGGTAAAATTAATGATTTCTTAAATGCCCCAATCCTATTTCCTAACTTGTTCATATAAGTCACACAATATGATTCAGAATTATATGCTCCCTCATCATTTAGGATGCTTTGATTCTAATGTCCCAAAGAAAAACAGGTCCATACACTAAGAAGTTTAGAAATAAGTTGTTGTGTTAATTCTAACACCACTTTAAGAAAAGCATTTTAGAGACACAGCAGACTTTTCTATTTAGTGGTTAAAAGTACTTCAATATTACGCCTAAGATGTAATACCATATTTCGCAAAGCAGTTTTTCTAAGGCATTGGTCTAAAGCAGGAAAGTATATGGACAATGTCACTTTCATTTGATATTGAAGATCTTTAAGATTTATCTGGGAATTATGTTCCCATATAAAGGCAACAACCTTTCTAAACTGGTGTGCCTTTCTCTTAAAAGTGATATCAAAAATAGGTCATGCCTTTCTTCAATATCTAGCCTATCTTGAATCCATTTTTTAATTTCTTTTCCCATAACAACACTACCCTAAAACTTTAATTGAATTTTTCAACTGTGGCCTCTAAAGTACTTATCAAAATGTAGATATTAAAGTGCAAATACACCAGGTAGAGCAAGTAAGAAAATACGTAGTTCACTTCTTCAACATTCAGGTTTTTTTTTTATCTAGAAATCAAGGCAAATAGAGTTCCTTGTCTCATTTCATGATTTTACATATATAGCTTTTTAGAGTGTCCAAAATATTTTTTCTACACACACTCACTATGGACTGTCTTCTATAAAATCAGTATAGTGCTTTTGGAACCGTGTAAGTTCAAAACCTACAGCTCCTGTCACTTACATACTTATCTGAACAATATCTTTATTACAGAGATTTTAGAATTGTTGTGTTAACCAAACCATGTTGATCAATCTTTTAACAAATACTGACAACTGCTCCAGTATGAAGAAAGCCAGAGACATCAGTGAATAGTCAAGGTCTTCAACGACCTTTCTTCCACATTTTTTCCCATTTCCTCCTGCGCTAACATTTTACTTGCAGGCAATTTTACACTTATTTTAAATTAAATTCTACTGAAAAGGATATACCATCTATGTTTTAAATTAATTAGTTTTCCTTTTCTTTTCATCTTTTTTTAATGCTGAGAAATTATTGAGATTAATGATGTGACCAGCAATCTGTGAATGCAGTACTGGAAGGGTCTTACAGGCTGGCAGATGAGCAGTTATTAGTGATGCCTCCATTATGCAAGAAGTCCAACAATTCACTTATATATATGAGTCAGGATCTCCATGAACTGAACAGAATTTATTCCCTCAGGCTCAAAGTTAAGTTTACTCTACATTCTAATTTTTTTGATTGATTCTCATCCCTCTGACATTAAGTTTTGAAAGTGGTTTAGGGAAAAATTAAAGGCAGTTCCTGTAGTTATGGACAAGATGATCAAGTCATTCTTTTTTCTACTACATGTTCACTTCTTTGGGGCATTAATTCTTCTTTGATCACTGCCACAAATGATGGGGATGATCATGGAAATATTTTATAGTTATTCTAGGAAAATTTACAAATACAGTATGTGTGTGTGTGTGTGTGTGTGTGTGTGTTAGATAGAATAGTGGGTCCTAGATGACATGTTTACATCATAACCCTGGGAATCTGTGAACAAGAATTTATCTTTACAGGGGCCAGGGATTCAGCTTACTGGCACCATGCCTGCCTCACAAGTGCAAGGTCCCAAGTTCCCTGGTACCAAGGGAAAAAAAAAAATGAAATTGTCTTTATAGACATGTGATTTAAGGATCTCAAGACGTTATCTTCCTGGATTATCAGAGCAAGGTTTCAACCTAATTATTGTGGTCTCTCCAGGAAACAGCAGAGAAGACGCCAACGAGGGATATGAAAATATAAGCAGAGATGAGGTTCATGCAGCCACAAACCAGGTAAAGTGGAGAGCTGGCAGAAACCAAAAGAGATGAGGAAGAACTGACTTCCAGGGCTTTTGGACAGAGTGCAGCCTTGTAAACACCTTGATTTGGACTTCTGCACTCCATAACTCTGAAATAATAAAATTCTGTGTTTTAAGTCACCAAGTTTGCAGCAGTTGCGGCAGGTGTGGAAAATTAATACAATGTATTGCAATTGTCAGTGATGAAAGCGTGGAATTATACCACAAAATAAATGTTTGAATCTTCATGGTATCCTTCTTATGGAATGGGAGGAGATGAATATTTTAGGTCGTGTGCATGTGTGTGTGTGTGTGTTTCTACACACATGCATGAACTTGTGTATATGTGTTTAAGATGATCCTTCCACAACATAAAAATAATCTTTTTCTCCAAAGTATGTCTTGATTTTATTGTGTAATTACTATAACAATCAGGATTTGATCTTTTTAAGTATCATCAAAGTGGCTCAAGTGTAAGAGATTTTTCAATTAAATTAAGGTCCATTAAATGTAACACAGTTATCTTTAGAAATCTATTGAACACAAATAAAATCATTAAGGCTTTCTGATTATATGAATACATATTAGACACATTTTTATTTTTTAAGAAAATATCTTCAATTATATGTTTCTGTTTGAACTGTTCTTACAAGTGAAAAATTTAGCTTAATCTAACCTTGCATCAAAATTTCTGAAAAAAAGACTAACATAAGTATCCCTCAGAGAGAGTTGTTGAGATGTAGATGCCTAGTCTGAGCTGCAGAGATTATTACTCAATAAATCTAGGTTAGGCTTACATCATAACTTTTAACAAATATTCCAGATTATTTGATTGGAGGTAGTCATTGGGCAAAGTTCATTTAAAGTCCCAAAGTTGTAAATCAGTGCCCAATTACTCATTATCTTAGGTTATCTGTGGCTGACAAAGGAAGAAATCAACTTACTCAGAAATGTGTAGATCAGAAGAACTTTGAAATATAGACCAAGTAGTAGAGATGTTGTTCAAAATGAAATTAAAATAATTGCAGTGAGATGAAACTCTGTTTCTATCCAAGCAATTCTCTTATATTCAGGTACCACACACAAAGCTGGCTTTTCCCAAAGGGAACAGCTATTCTGCAGCCTTTAAACAAAGGCACAAAATTGTGGGCTTTGGGGAATTTTTAAATGATTAACCAGTGTTTTCCTATCCTGAACTAACTGACCCATGCTGCAGATTAGATAAAAATTTTGCAAAAGCACCCTGTGCCTTGCCCTCTACTTCCCAAGATTAATAACTAGGGTTGGCAGTAAGAAAAAACCCATTTAAATTTGAAAAATTGAAAGTAGAAGACAGCAGTTGGTGGTTTTGCTGAAATTCCTTGATTATTTCCCACAGTATGAGAGCTGGGTGGGGACAAGAGAAATAAATGATAATTGATCAGAGAGAGGGCCTGTGGCTGCCAACCTGAGTGTTCTCACAGCTCCGGGAGCCAAGAAAGGGCAAACAACTTCTTTCCCTGTTCCTTAAGAAAGATGAGAGGAAAAGAGAGAGAAATGGAAGAGAAAGTGGGACCTATCTAGTGGCCTTGCCACAAAGAAAAGTATCACTGACTATGCAGACCAAAAACTTGGGAAAGACAGAGGCCTCAGCTTAGCCAAAAGAGATGACCACATTCAAGGGCCAGATGAACTAGAATACCTACCAGAGTCTCAGGGAAGACTAACAGGAATGTTTCTTACACACTGCTTCTCTAAGTGAGTTTTCTGGCATCAGACGGAAGGAGAGTTTGATGAAATCTAAACCTAAGTAACTAAGTTTTGCTTGTACTTTGGGAATTTATGATTTGAAAATTTTGAATCTACTCCAAAATAAAAATGTTTATGTTATCATAGTCCATTCTATATTGTTATCATAGATATATACATAGATAGATAGATAGAGATATAGAGAGAGAGAGATACATGGTCAACACCACTAAGACAGAGTTCTCCTTTCTTCATTTTTATGTTGTTTGTCAAGAAATATATTGTCCCATTATCAGTGGGCTAGTACAACAGAAATATGTACTACTATCCATGTGCACACAGTATTTGTGTCTGACTGCAAAGGCTCATTGTGTTGTTTATGATGTTCTTTTGCCAGTAGGAAAAGCAATGATGACCACCCTAAAATGCAGAATTAAGTTCTTTTCCTACAAAGTTTGTATCAAGTTATTTTGGGAGAGCACTATAAGTTGTCTAAGTGTTAATTTTCTCATCTTTAAAAGAGACCAAATATATCCACTGTGAAGTTTTGGTTTTGGTTTGGAAGACAATAATATATCCACTGTGGAGTTTTTGTTCTAGTTTGGAAGAGAATAAGTCTCAATCCCCTTTTGCTATATGTTCTTTGTCAAACTCTAGCCAAAAATACATTGTACTTTTTTAGTAGCATATGCAGAATGATAGAGAATAAATATCAACATCAGTAGCCTAGTACAATTGCTCTTTTTAATCAACTTTAAGCATGTTTATAACTTCTTCTGTTTCATTCATGAATTTCTTTCACAAGGCCTTTTGCTCAAATGGTAGGGAATATTTTCATTCTTTATCTGAGTTCCAAATGCAAGCTCTATTTCTAGATCAGAGTGATGAATATGCCTTTTATTGCCTGATCCTCTCTGGCACATCTCCTCAGGAACATTCTCAAACGCCACTCACTCTAGCACACAGAACCTTAAGTCACATTCTCCCTGGGGCTGAAATAATAGAAATGTAAAGCTGAAAGGATGGTGCCTAGTTTATCTTTTGTGCCTTCTGAAACTTGACATTTTTCCATCATTCTCAATCTCTATCTTCTTGGTAAATTTTCAGCCACAGCTTCTGACGAACACAATCTAATTTTCAACTGCTCACACATGCTCTATTCCTTCAATCAAATTCTGCTGTTTTCTGAACACTAAGCTTTTATTTCAGTGTCTAGCCTCTATTTCTGGCTTGGTCCAATTATGCAAATGGCTAGTCCTCTTGTTAATCGACTTTAACTTATACCAAAAATAAAACAAACAGTGTTTCTAAGCTTCTATTTTTTATCTGATACCTTTAGTCTAGGATACAGAATAAGGATTTAGAATAATATTTACAACATATAAGAAATAGTGGTTAACTCTTCACACTAATTAATGTGAAATTTAAACCTCTCAAAACTCTGTATTTTTTAGTCAGTAAAAGAAAAAGCCCTGTCTTCTCTCCCCAACTTCATTCTGGAGAGGTGTTCAGTATCTTCATTTCAAATCCTAATTCATAAGTCAAGAGTAAAAATAATATAACCAAGAAAAGGAAGGAAAGATGAAAAAGTACACTGGTAGTATAATCTTCAATACCTAGAACTAAGCCAAATAAAATGAGCTGTCTTTTTTTTAAAAGACACAGTATATAAGATTAAGTAAGCCATATCAGCAAGCCAATTTTTCCCTATGTTACTTCTTTTGCTCCAACACCAATCATCAGCATACCTACTTTACAGGACAGAAAACTGACATGCAATGTGGTTAACAAAAAATGTCTAACATCATCACACATAACAAAAACCAATCTAGAGCTGCTATAGACTGAATGATGTCCCCTCAAAATTCAACTCTTGAAACCTTAACTTCCCAAGTGACTGCATTTGTATATAAGGCCTAGAAGAAGGTATTTAATATTAGTGAGGTAATAATGTTAGGACTATAGCCCACTAGGATTAATGTTCTTATAAGAAGAAATACCATAGAGTTTATTCTCATCTTTTTTCTCTACACACACGCCCTGAGAAAAGGCACTGTGGGAACACAGAGAGAAAACAGCCACATGCAAGCAGAAAGACAGATTTTATTAGTAACGGAATCCCCTGAAATCATGAACTTGGACTTTTAGCATTTAGAATTATGAGAAAATAAATTTCCATTGCTTAAAGCCCTTGGTCTACAGTATTTTGGTATGGTAGCCCAAGAAGACTAATGCAGAAACCAAAGGCAAATTTTTGAATTCTTTTTAATCACCTTTGTAACAATTATTCCTGTGTACCTTTATTCTAATTTTCTGTCAAGAGTATATAAGAGCTTCCCTCCCCCCAACACACTCATTTTAGATGCAGAATCTTAGAAGGAAAATAGAAGAGTGACTCAGTAATATATAAGGCACAATCTATAGATTTCCTTCCTTGTAAACAGAAGCACAATCTTGTGAGGTCATCTATGACCACAGAAAATCTGTAGTTCTACATCTTCAAGGTCAACTCTGAGCGGCTTCAGCTGTTCTCAGATACCCTATTCTTTGCTAGTAATTGCTCTGAAAGGAGGCAGGAGCCTCATTTGGGATATAACTAGTAAAATACAAACACCACAACCATTTAAAACAAAGAAAATTCAGTGCAGGGAATTTTTCACATAAGTAATGAAAGAGTTGAAAATTTCCAAGTCACAACCCACACCTGTCCTGGAAAGGCAAAAGAAAACAAGAAGATAATCTGTTTGAGCTGCTATATCAGAATTCCATAGATCAACTGAATATTTATTTTTCATAGCAAGAAACTAGGAAGTCCAAGCTCAGGGCACTGACAGATTCAGTGCCTGTTAATGGCCAATTTCCCAGAGAGCAATTGCTTCACATGGTAAAAAGAACCTTAAATGTACCAATAAAATTAATTTTTAAAAAATAGAATAGAGTCTTTCTGGGCCCCTTTTACATTGGTGCTAATGCCTTTTATTAGGCCTCTGCTCCCATGGTGGAGTAGCCTCCATCAGGACCCATTTACTACTTCCATCACCAATCTTGGAAGATAGAATTTCAATATAAATTTTAATATGAATTCAGATTTCAGCACCCCATTATCTGCAGAACCTGTACTCACTGCCCACACATAAGACATGTAAAAGAGAGGAGGAAAAAGAGAAATGCCCTGGTTCCTCTGTTCTGCCTACTAATTGACCCCCCACATTGGCTCCTTTTGAGCAAACACATCCAGAAACCAGATTTTCCAAGACCCTAAAAAACAGCCCTCTAGAGATAGAGTCAAACCCTATGGGACATAGAGTAGATGATCTCTTAGGGAGCTTCCAGGTCTTCAAGCTTGGGTTTCTGCTGCATCCTTGATCTCTCTTGGTCTGCAGCTTCCATCTTCTTGAACTGAGCTGGATTCGCAGATGATCATGTGCATTCTCCCACCTCTGATCCTGTAAGCCTACCTAATAAATCTCTTTGCACAATTATTCATG